AAGGCAGGCTGCAGCCAGAGCTTCAGGAGGATTGCCTCACAACCGAAGCTCCAGGCAGCTCCTGGCTCTACTTGTTGCAAAGGCAAACCTCGTCCTGGCATTTCATATGTTTTGAGTGCTTGCTTGTCTTTGGATCGTGAGGCTCTTACACTGTAAATCCTTTTTTTTTTTTTTTGGTACTTTTATTGGTATTGCACTACACTTAAAAGCCTTGGCCAAGGCCAGGACCCTGATGTATTAGGTATTGCACATACTGAGAGGAAGACTACCCCAGGCCTGAAAGCTCTGCTTGAGTAAGCGTGGGAGCTCAATTTCCTCCATATTACATCTGAGGAACCATGTCCCTAAGACTGACTTGTGTGAGGTCTGTAGTGAACCCGGCAACTGAACATAAAAATGTCTTAATTTTAATCTGGTGACTAAACCACAGAACCAGCCTGCTGCTTCTGACACACTGAACCAGGGATAATAATGTCTACTTTAGAAAGCAGCACTGAACGCTACTTAAAGTGTACTAAATGCTTAGAGCTTCTCAGATGAAAAGAACAAGTCTAAAGGAATATGAGGCAAAGTTCTATAAGCAGATGTCATTGTCACTGCGTTTGAGCTCAAAATGATTCCTTGAAAGATGTCCCAAACGAGCACATTTCCTGGTTAACCGAAGAGTTCTGCGTGAAAAAATAAGTCAAAACTGTCCAGTCTTTAATTTTTAATATTTAATAAACCAATATTGGAAGTCTTAAAGTAATCCCACATGCAAGCATAAACATGTTTACCCTTCTATTTCCATGCCCTGAAGGTTTTGCCACCATTCCTGGAGACAAAAATATCCAGAAGGGGAGTAGCGCTCTCATTTAAGCTATGATGCTCACCAAGGATTCCGAGTCCAGCTCCAAATGAAGGATGTGGAGTTTCTCAAACAGAAGAACATGAATTACCGCTAGACTGCTCTGCAAAAGAAATTAAGCTTGAACCATGACCCATCAATTTCCTTCCCAGCTGGTAAGAGGCAGCCACATTTTGCACAGGGGAGAGTACTGAGCAGCCCTCTCACTGGGGCACCTTGTGCAGGACGTGGAAATACACGGTTCTTCAAAGTCCAGCACGTTTCTGATGCTGCCCAGATAATGTGATTAGACTATCACTGAGAGGCTGTTGTTTTCTTTGCTGGGTAGTCCTTGCTGTTTTGTGCCTGTTACCAAAGATTGTTTAGCAAGAAGGATTAGCTATAAAGCAACTGCAGTGTGCCATAAAACTGTAGGGTAAATGCCAGAGTCCACAAAACATGGCAAGGGCATGGGTCTATCTTGTCAGCGAAGAAGAAGAACACAGGAGTTTATGGCTCTGTTGTGCAGTCATTGATGAAATAGAGCTTACTTCCCCCAGAAAATCTTGATTCAGCACATTTCAAGGTCTTGTAAATGACACCTTACTACAGACATCTCTGTTCTCACAGAAGCAAGAGCAGGAACAGTGAGTGGTAGGCTGGTGCCATCTGCTGGCACAGCTGCAGTCTCATCTTGATGAAACACTCAATAATCCAAGGGAATTTCATAAAAAGCACCAGCTCAGCTCAAAAGAGAAAAAGGAACTGCAGAAGTTTTTCTTTAAGGTGGTGAATCAGCTCTGGAAGAGGGTGCCAGCTCCAGCTGTGGAGTCTCCTGCACTGGATGGTCTGAACACAAATTAGCCAAACGTCTGCCTAGATGACTGGGGTAAACGTGACTCTGCCTGATGGTATGGAATAGATTAGATGAGTCGCTGTTTCTTAAACCTTTACAATGACATGATTATTCAGCCTTTTTGAAAAGCATCCATGACCCCAAAGTACTTCCTAGCGCTGTCTGACAGCAAGGGGAATAATGTAACAAAAAATGTACTTAGTCTTAAGATATGAGTAACTTTGGAAAAAAAAAAAAGGAATTTTTACCATTATAATCCCAGATTAAAATACACAGATCATTGACAACAGAACTCTGGTCTTTGATTCTTAGCTCCTGCATCAGGCATTTAGGAGCTGATCCCAAGGGTCTCGCACCTTCTTGCTGTGGGAACGCATATGTAAGTGATCAGGTTCCCTTCTTCCCTCCCTGTGTTGCAGTCATTTTGAGGAGTGCCTCCTGATGTCTTCCAGACCACCCCTCTTCTGCGGAGTGCAGGCTGAAGGCTACATGATCTTCCCTTGTTCCTTCCAGCCGTACCCTGCTGAGATCCTATGGAATGCGGAAGTACTCCAAGCTGTTGAGGACCTAACTCTGTATGGGACATCAGCACTCAAGCTGCTCGTGCCAACATCAGCTAGAGGCAGGATGAACATCATTGTGAGGAAGGCATCTGCCCACACCTGCCTACCTCCCCCTGAACACGTACACCTTCCCACGTGTGCATTTGATCTGGTGCAGCAACTCCTACCCTCCTGAAACACGATCCCATTGCTTGACAGCAGTACTGATACCACAAATACACAGGGACATGCCGCTGGATAAATCATGATCAACGAATACACCCCCACTCTACTTGAGCTTGCCCCTTACACCACGGTCAGCAAGTATGTTGCATCTTATTCTGCAAGCCACCTGAACAGTTGGAAAGCATGGCCACATGGGGACTGACACACTTGAATGAAAGTTTTATCTCTTTCTTAAGGATGCATGGAAAATCCTCAGGGATTCTCCAAGGGCTGTAGAGCTGGGAGCTGCCACGATGTTGGGAGCCCACTTGCGTGCCAGCCATGGACGAGGGACTCGGGAGGTGCTCAGCTCCCCCAACAGCAGCACCCAAGGTTGCCGGCTTGAGGCTTCTGCACGGCAAGGCAGGCTCCAGCAAGGCTGCACGTACAGCAGAGATGGGGTGCACAGTCGTAACGCAAACAAACAAACAAAGGCAACCAAGGGGGCACCTACCGTTCAAATTCCACCAGATCAGGGGACAAAGTGGCCGGGGACTGCATAAGTCCCGTCTTCGCATCTTCTTCCGCTGTGTTTTTTTCATGCTCTTGAATCAAACACCAGACTGTAGAGCCACTCTCACTCATGGTTTCTGAGGGTGATGCAGTGCTGGAAAGAACACACAGGAAAAAAAAAAAAAGTTAATTCTCCACGGGGATTAATAAGGCCCCTAGTCACGGCCACTGTGAAGTCCAGGGCCACCCTTCCCAAGTAGGCCTTTTCGCTCGCCTCCTTTTGCTTTGCATGCAAATGAGAACTCCTTGGTGGAAATGAGCTACGCAGGAAGGAAAGGAAATATAAGCACCGACTGAAAATGAGACCAAGAAATGCATAGAGCGTTCATGCACTGAGTGGGATTACAGAGGTCTGGGTGAAACCTCTTCATCTTTCCCTCATGACAGGCCTCTGCATGGGAATTCAGTAACTCGGACAGAGCGCTGCAGAGATGCTGGGAGCAGGTGTAAAGTATTATCATCTTTCTCTGCTCGGTACAAGTCTTTACCTGTGATTGCTGAAGTGCCTCTTGACATACTCCTCCCTGACTTCCTCCAAGCTGGACGGGCTCCCATCCTCCAGGCTGAAGGACTCTGTCGCAGCAGAAAGGTGGCCGTCACGTCAGGGGAGCGCCTGGCTTCCCTCTCACCCCCAACCCGTCCCCGTCAAACAGAGCAATTCTGACAACTGGTCCTTCGCTGTCACGAGCCAGAGCTTTGATTAGGCAAAAATGACGCGAGACCAGACACTTCAGCCTCTCCTACAAGGCAGCTAGCATGGTCGGGAGCTGATGAGCACTGTGGGACTTAGTATCACTGCTCCCTTTGTAACGTTGGTCTGAGAGGAAAAACCAACGGTGAAAACAGGCAAATCACAGCCCGGGCAAGTACCAGTCAACAGAGTACTTTGTGATTGCCGTACAGCCAGCAAGCTGCACGTCAACACCCCAGACAACCAGCCTCCGGGGTTCAGAAGCGGTATGGGTTACACGTATCTGCAAGGGGGACGTTTACCTCAAAACTCTCCTTAACCAGCCCCGCTGCTTGCGACCGCTTCAAACCTCCTCTCTCTTGTCAAACTACTCGCTCTACCGCTCACTGCTTTTCACAGGTTATCTGAGGGTGCGGGTTCAGACGAGCTGGCTCATCTCAAGCACCGGGATTTTCAATCGATGCCAATTATTTGAGGTGCAAGTTACATAAAGAGCACTTTTTTTTTTTCCCCTAAAGGTGACAGTATTTTGGATACTGAAGAGACATAAAAACATGCCCCGAGTCCCTAGGGCATGGACTCCCAGCCCTCATTCTGCCCCGGCAGGCCGTGGCCAGCGTCAGCGGGCACGCTGGCGGCTGCA